GGGGGGGGGGGAGGTGTTATGTGTGTGTGTGTGTTAAATTATATAGGGGAAAGGGGTGAGATTTGTGCATCATGATGGGGGTGTATGTGTGTGAGAGAGAGGGGGAAAGGGTGTAAGATCTGTGGAGGCAAAGGGGTGTTTGTGTGTTAAATTAAATGGGGGAAGGGGGTGAGATCTGTGTGTGGTGATGACGGAGGGCGTGTATGTGTGGGAAGGAGGTGAGATCTGTGTAGGAAACCTGGGAATTGTAGACTGCGGAGTGGGCGGGTCAAAATTTATTTGGGCGGAAATTTAAATCTGGAGAGCTAATTTCATTCATTGGATTAACTATGAATATTTTTGAGTCAATCTAAGATGTTCAAACGAGTTTAAAAGTCCTGTTAAAAAAATAAACGATTTTGTAAGTTGGGGGATGCAAAATTCCTTGTACTTTATTTTGTAGATATGGACACATTGACCAAAAAAAACACATCCACTCTCATCAAACCTCATCAAATTACATACACACTGATATTAACATGCACAAACTAAATGTGTTTTTTGTTTTCTATTATGTTGAAAAAAGAATTGTTAACAAACATGTTTTTTGTTTGAAGAACGGAAAATAAATTTGAAACAAAGAAAGTAAAAACAGAATACAAATGAAAACATGAGAGAACGACAAATACCACCTAATGTTGTGGTGATATGCTACTACTGTAGTTGAACTGGAAACTTGAGGTGGGTCCAAAGGTCATGATCTACGAGTCATCTGTACCATTTAATAAAAAGACTCTTATGCAATACAAGACGTGCTGATCTTCTTGGGACTTGCATCTCAACAAGCTTTATACAAGCTATATATATAAGCCCACTTTCTGGGGTAGAAGCCCCATCAGTTATTTATTGCCGTTTCATATATTTTTTTGATAGGATACTGTTTCATGATTTTGGGGATCTTTGTTTGAAGTAATGTTTCCTTGCAATGCAGATTTTTTTTAATTGATTTCTCAATTTTGTTTTAACACTTTTGGAGGCTTTTATTTTTCTATTGCATAGCTGGAGGAGGTAGAAGGCTTTTGTGACCCCAATCCTACAGAATTTGTTGACGTGGATGTAGCAGAACCAAATATTGTGCTTTACTGGGGACTACAACCGGGTAGGAGTGAATTTGTGGACATAGATTCTGTTGAAGAAGATTTTATGAAGAGCATTACTAATGGGTATCAAGCCCCCCCTGGAAAGATGGCATTATCGATTGTACAAGCATCCCAATTACCTAAGAGTGCTGCTGAGTTTGATGGTGGTGGAAGGACCAAGGGCACAAAAGCGTGTTGGAGGATTCCAGATTTCAATCAGCAAGGGGCTCCTGTGTACTCAAAGCATCTGCCTCGCGACTTGGTTGGATATTTGGCGACCAGTGGAAATGTCGAGTACTATAATGTGGGGAATTAGTTTCTACCAGCAATTCCTATGTTATATTGTCAATTTGCATACAGATTTTTTGGGTTTTTTTTTTTTTTTTTGACTGCACAGGTCTCAGTGATACCGGTGAAACACAATTTTTGAAGTCTCAAGTAAAAAAATAAAAAATAAAAATAACAAAAAGATAGGGTTATGATGAGGAAAATTTAAGCACTTCTTGTAAATTTCATGTGAACATTTTAGATATTTTGTTTATTTTCTGTTCGTAAGAACAGATAACATTTAGCAGATGTTTTTCTGGATTTATTGGATTATTTTTATTTGCTGTTAATTTGATCTTGTCTGGGCTGCTTGGGTTTAGACTCGAGGCAATTACAAAAATATACTGTTTACTGTATTACAGTGCTACTAATTGGTGTCAACAGTGCTATTAATTACTGTATAATAGATCGACACAAATTTAATAAAAAATAATAGGAACCACTTAACCATTATTATACATGTTATGAATGTGATACGACACGAATTTAGAAATACAGATTTGTTATGAGTTATGTAAATTTTTACACAATGTAGTTCTAACACACGTGACTCATTGTCCATCTAAGCGTAGATGCCGTCCGTGTATGTTGCATGTTGCATGTTGCATTCGTCAGCTTGTCTATATCAACATATAGTTAATAGGAGGCAATTAATCTCTTAAGGTATAGAATTCCTGACGTTAGAAAGGCATTGGAAAAATCTAAAACACGTCAAGAAAATGGTGTCGAAAAATCTAAAGATGTTCAATTGAATGTCGATAAACCATACAAGGGCACATAATATTTGTAAGGGGAATTCTTGCCCTCCACGGAAAGATTTTGACTGACTTAGGTGAACACCCAGTAATCTTTATCTCTCATTCCACATCGATAGAGAGTCGTCTCCTCCCCTGCCATATAGGTGTGCACTTACTATGAGGAGGTACCTCCTAGCACCTGATCAGTATATTTTTGTAATTCCCCTTACAATATTATTCAATTTTCCTCTTTGTTATATTATCATTTAAAAAAAAAAAAAGGGCACATAATATTATTAAGCTCAAGGGAGAGATGGAATCCGGCAAAGTAAAAATGGAAAAAAAAAAAAAAAAAAGTGGTCAGTGACCCAAAGAAGAAGAAGAAAGTGGTCCATACCAGACAAATACGTGATTAAAAGTGATGAACGAGTCAATGCTTGGAAGTACAATCTTGTGTAAGTCATAGTTATATATAGACTGTTTTGAATCACAATTTTACAATCAACCTTCTCGGTATGGAACTACCAAATGTAATAAGTGTCAAGGGATTTACTAATTTACAAGCCACATTTTGGTAGAAAAAATCGACAAGGGAATATATTCTTTATCATCTAGCCAGATGACTTTCAATGGGAATATTTACTTATTTAAGTGTACATATATACTTTATTTTCTCCCCTTTTTTTGGTGGAGAGAAAACAGAGAAATTTACCTGCAAAAAAAAAATTCTATCTTTTTTGATTCAGGTAAAAGCAACTTAAAATTTTATGAGGTTGTGAATGAACGCTGTTCTAAAGTAAAAACACATGGTAAAAGACTTTAGAACTTTATAGTAAAAATATCAGATTTTCCCAAAATAAATGATAAATGATAAAAAGAAACAAAAATAGATACATGGAAAGAAAATCACAGACTGACCACTGGGACAATTACACAAAAGAATTGTACACATCACTCTCTCCTTTCCCTTTATTTACAATCTCTTTACACAGGCACAAATGTAACACTTTCCTGATCTATCAAATGACAGTATGTTTGTGTAACCTCAAATTAGTTTCTTGGTAGTCCTAACTCCTACTATCAAATCAGTGTAGAGATTCTCTAGTTGTGAAGTTAAAACTAAAACTTTTTATGACCCTCCCAAGAAAAACCAATGGCCACCACTGGCTTCGATACAATCACAAAATAAAAAAGCTTTGACATATGATTATTATAAATTCCACTGATTACCGAATTACTCTCTCTTGCACAGTGATTGCTCCAACCAATTTTTAGAGACAAAATTACTTGGGGCCTTAATGCAGGATGACAAATGAATTTTCTCGCTTCTTGCTTTTTGAGCCTTTTTACTAGTAAGGTGCTTGTTTCACAACCCATAAATTGCTTGATGGAGCCGGGCCCCTTGGTTCCATATCTGTGAATGTAATGGTGGTTAAGATTTTCCTAACATTGTATTTGGTAGGATTAATTTTCGATACTGTCTTCGGGGGATTGAAGCTAGTAGTATGAGAGGGTTTGGACTTTCCCAATTTACACTAATGTACCAAGCTCTGTAAAGTGCAAGTGCAGAGTGGAATGAATGTGTGCGCTTTTGTGTATGAGAGAGAGAGAGAGATCAATAGTAGTAGGAAGACTTACAAGGGAACTGCCCAGAATAAGGAGATCGACAATGAGAGAAAGAGAGGAATCTTTTTCCACTATGTTCAAAGAAGTACCATATATTTTAAGGTTTTCAAGCTTCAATATTCTTGTGATCTCTGCAGCTTGAGAAGTGGTCCATTAAGAATCACCTAGCTAGCACAATCACAATGACATTTTGGATACAAACTTACAAAGACAACTTTGTCCTATGTGATCTTATAGATTCTCATTTTGTCTTACCATACCTTCTCCAGTTGCATTAAAAAATAGTTTCATCAACCCTCCTCTCCTAATCCTTTTAGACCTTTCGCCAAAAAATGTGTAGGTGCTCCTCATGTCAATTGAAGGTATACTAGAATGCCTCGGTTCTCCCGTGTTGTGATTTTTGTGCAATGAATACTCAAAGAAACATAATAATTTGAAGATGAACACAATAATTTACATGGTTCGACAATTTGCTTACGTCAATAAAAAAACGGTTGTCTTGTTTTTTATTCTACACTGAAATAGGGTTACAACTTAATATATATAGGTTTAGGGCAAATCCCGAAGACACGTACGGCTCTCCTACTCCATACCGCAGGACGTAGCCCCCCCCCCCGGCACCCCTTTGGCCTATCTTCGACCTTGGCAATAATTTGGATCCGTTAGATGGCTAGTTGTCTTCGTTACGTTTTGACAACTAACCCATTATATTCCAACTTGGTGTACCTCTTCATATAGAGAATATGAGTCACATATTCTAACATCCTGAAATAGATCTACATTAATACAATGCCTAATTTTTCTCAAAATAGACCAATACATTTGTAATTTCAGAATTTGCATGAAACTAGTCCCCAAATGGTAATAAACTGCTTGTACAGGTTACGAACATGCATTATAAATTCAGGCTTCCATAGCCCCTTACCACACCACCTTTCTCTCACCTTTACTTCCACAGTTGTTTCAGGCATTCCTTGCAATCCAAGCTTACGTTCGAAGTTGAAGAAAAGTTGCTGGTCTAGACCAAATGGAGTTAAATTTTTTTCATTTCTTCTCCTTTATGTTGGGAAAAATAGAAGGGAAACATATTGAGTTTGTGTCGAGTGGAACTGTGGAAGTTTGCTAACCCTTTATAGAGGAAGCTAATGCTAATGTTTTGGGTTTGGCGATGGCTCAAGCAGACCTGGAGTAGAAATAAGGTGGTAACATGTTTTCCTTCCATGCACGTGGAATGTAAAAGGATGACTTTGACCTCCTACATGATTCAATAGACGCTCAGGAGATGTCATTACAGCCAAACCAAATGCCTAAGCAATTGGAATGGCCTCCCAGCATACTTATCATAGATTCCAAGCTTTGAACTTGATAGGAGAAGCATAAGCATTTGATCCATGGCTTACATTTGTATGCAAAAACTTCTGTCCTGAACTAACATGTTTGTATGCAAATGTGCAGAAAATTATGTGCCCCATCATTATCCTCACTCTTGTGTGGCTTGTCCAAGGCAAGCTTGGCTCAGAATTTCATATAACAGTAGCTCTCGATGGGTCTGGAGACTTCAACACAATCTCTCATGCTGTCAACGCTGCACCTAATTATAGCAAAGAAAGATATTACATAAGAATTAAAGCAGGCACTTATGTTGAGAATGTCGTTGTTGGAAAGAAAAAAACAAATATTTCTTTCATTGGAGATGGAATGGGCATGACCATAATCACTGGTAATAAAAGCGTGGGTAAAGATTTGGTTACCTTTGAAACAGCCACATTAGGTATGTTTTATTTATCAGAGAGAGAGAAATGCCATTTTTCATGTCATATGCATAAACTACACTGTTCAACTTGACTAGCACTTATTATACATACTGTTTGTGATTAGGGGGGAAAAAGTTTTTAAGTCTTACTACTGTTTCATATATATAATCACTAATTTTCTTTTTCTATCAGACATAAATGGAGATGGCTTTATGGCAAAGCATATAACCTTCAGAAATGATGCTGGACCAACAAATGGACAAGCTGTAGCAATGAAGTGCAGTGCTACATTTTCTTCCTTCTTCCAATGTAGATTCGAAGGCTATCAAGATACCCTTTACGTCCATAGAGGTATCCAGTTTTACAAGGAATGTGAAATATTAGGGACCACAGATATCATTTTTGTGGATGCCAAGGTGGTTTTTCAAAATTGTGGCATTTATGTTCGTAATCCAGAAGAAGGGCATTTAAATGTCATAACTGCACAAGGACGGGAAAGGCCTGAAGATGATGGTGGGATATCAATCCATCCACGCACAATTGCGGCTGCGAAAGGCTTCAACCCGAATCCAGGAACCAAAACCTACCTTGGCCGACCATGGAGGCCATTTTCAACTGTGGTTATAATGCAGTCCTTCTTGGATTATATTATAGATCCGGAGGGATGGCTCAAATGGGATAATAATACTTCTACACTCTCTTCACTATATTATGGGGAGTATCAAAATTATGGTCCTGGAGCTAACACTGCCAATAGAATAACTTGGAAAGGATATCATAAAGCCATGAGCCTAGCTGAAGCTGAAAATTTTGCCGTGAGAAATTTTATTAAAGACCAGGCATGGCTAGGTCCAACGAGCATCCCATATGCCATAGATCTGGCATGGCTACCTCCAACGAACATCCCATATACCCCAAATCGATCTAATGTACACAAAACAATGTCACCCAACATTCCCATTTGGTATAGTTTCATTGTGATCTACATTTTCAATATTCATATGTAATCAGCGATAAATATCAAATTAAGTTCTTTCACATATAGTGCTTCTTTGCGATATTTAGTCAGTTCATTGCGTGACTAATTATAGCCCTCTAGGAAAACGAAGTGCTAGTGCATTATCTAAGATAAGACAACTCCAGTTGTGACATATTAACTTAACACCACTTCATAATTCTATCATTTCTTTTTTAATTAACTGTACACATATCTTAATATTCTCATTCCTACAACACTTATTTTTCAAGTGTGTTGTTTTCTTAAAAAACCCAATATTCTGTATTGTATAGTTTTAATGGTCTAATATTTGTTTTATAACACTTACCTTTCAGTCTAGGTGTCATGGAGTCAAATTTCTCATCAAATTTCTGTCTAGTGATGATATTGAGATCCTACACTTGGTCTCAACCAAACACTCAAAACGCTCACAGAATGCACACACGAACAAAATAGGGACAAACAAGCAAACTCACACACACAGCAAACAAGCTTTATAGGCCAACGGCCAAACCTTTATTTCCCAACAAAGTATAAGGAAACTCTCAGCTAAGGTCTGTTTACAAAAACGTGCCCAACACTCTGTTGATACACTATAGACCCCAACACCTATATTTATAGCATACAAGATTGGTGGTTACAAAGCCCAATCGCCTAGGCAACTGCATGGCAGTTCAGATCTACCCACAAAGCCACCCCTCAGTTTGTTGATGATGGTCCAGGTCCTTTCCCACATCTGCTGATCATGGTAAAGGATAGTTGCAACTGTTGGTTGACTTAGTAGCAACTGCCCTCAACTATTGTGCATGCTGAGTGCACATGCCAACAACCCTCATGCTGTGCACATGCTACCATTCTGTACAGAACCGCCCCTGCATGCCATACATATGCCAACAACTGTTTGGAATCGCCACCATCTACAGGGCAAATGCTACAATCGTTCGAAATTGCCTCACATGTTGTGCATCTGCCTTTTTTTGTGAGCCACTACACCTAATTAGCCTTGCCTTTGTGCCTAACCATGCCCATCCCATGACTTAGTCTTTTAAACTATCATTGCCCCACAAATTGAGTCATCCGATTAGCATTTGCTTACAAGCCTACTTGTGCCCACGTACCCATGCATTAGTTGTTACGCCCGGCCATGCATGGGGCTTTAATTCCACTGATTGCACCAAATCGTGCCCATGCATAAGCTGTCATCCTCAGTCATACACGAGTCTTCAATCACCCACCGATTGCACCAAGGCTTGCTTTCTCAAGTGAAACCTAGTTTGACTAAGCATGAGCGCTTTTGGGTGAGACTGCCCCATGCCAATGCCGAGTCAGAAGCTAAGGGTGTAACACTAGGAGTATACGATGATCACTAGATGCATTCATGCACTTAGTCCATCCTCCTTGAATTCTCTAATTAACGTTGTCTTTAATCTCTCACTCCCTCTCGATGAATGGCCCTAAATACTATATGTTGTAATTTTGCGGCGGTAATCCAAGAAGTTGGAAATGCATGATACTGTTTTTAGTTCATTGAGGTAATTCAATGAGTTTGTTGAAAAAAAAAATTCCATGAGTTATAATAATGAATGGTACCGTCTAGAGGCAGAGGCAGAAAAATACTTTAGGGTGGACACATTATTTTAGTTGTAGAGTCTACTTTCAATTAAAAGATTGCATTGAATTATGTCATCAAATTAGGTCTAAATAGCATTTTTTATTTTTTTTTCAATTGGCCACAAAAGTTTATAAATTCATCTTTACTATAATTACACTTAAAAGTTCATTAAACATAAAAAGTTAAAAAACGATTTGCATGGAATGAACAAACAAAAATAAAAGTAAATTAATTAAAACTTTATATGAGACTATAATTATTGTCATTTTACGATTGAATCTGATTATTATTTATTATTTAAAAGAATTATAAATCAATGATATTAATAAATACTTTTTTTTTCTCTATACAAAATGTTAATAACAATCTTTCATTTATTATCTTGTAATTTATTACATAATGATGTTCATTTCTATACAGTAACAAAATAATCCTATACTTTAGAAACATGATTGCGATATGTATAAAAATTATTCGGACATGTCTGAAATGTGTCTAAAAATTTAAGAATAATTGTAGTTGCATCTAATTCGATATTTAATTTTATATCTTGACCAGAAAAAATTCAAAATTTAATTAGTTAAAACCCAATAGCTTGTGAACATTGAATGGAGAACGGACATTATTAAATGTAGGGATTCACTACTAAATTTAATATCACAACGTATTAGTCCCAATAAAATAATTTGAAAATTAATTATTATTTGAAAAAAAATTCTTTCAATTCTTTTCGTAATCTATTAAAATTTGATAGCATTGTTTGACAACCTTCTTGTACTGAGACACCTGAACATAATGGTATAGCAGAGGGCAAACACTGACATATTATGGAGACAACACGTTTTCTCTTACTATGAGCAAATGTCCCAAATTCTTTTTGGGGGAAGCAGTTCTTACTGTAGTCCATTTGATTAATTCCATTTCCATTGTCATCACCTCTGGAATTTCTCCATTTGAAAAACTATGTGGTAAGCCACTTGATTATTTCTCTTTGCGTATTTTTGGATGCACATGTTTTGTTTTGCTTCCTAATGTCCTTCGTACTAAGTTTTTTGCTCTTTCAACTTTATGTGTTTTCCTTGGTTATGGTGAAAGCTAAAAAGAGTATCGTTGTTATGATCCTGTTTCACACAAACTCTTTGTCTCTTGTCTAAGTTATTTTCATGGAGCATATTCCCTTCTTTTCTATTCCATCCACTTCTTCACATTTGCATAAATTTGATCTCATTTATATTGACCCATTTCCAGTTGATGTTTCCTCTGACACTTGTGTTGGTAATATGATTGTTTATGATATACCTTTCTCTGATGTTCCCATCACCCATTCCCATATTGTGTATACATATTTTTGCAGGAATCCAATTATCTCCTCTAAGGACCAAGGGCACAAAAGCGTGTTGGAGGATTCCAGATTTCAATCAGCAAGGGGCTCCTGTGTACTCAAAGCATCTGCCTCACTACTTGGTTGGATATCTGGCGACCAGTGGAAATTTCGAGTACTATAATGTGGGGAATTAGTCTCTACCAGCAACTCCTGTGTTATATTGTCAATTTGCATACAGATTTTAGGTTTTGTTTTTGGCTGCACAGATCACAGTGAAACCGATGAAACACAATTTTTGAAGTCTCCAGTAAAAAAAAAAAAAAATAAATAAAAAAAAGATAGGGTTATGGTGAGGAAAATTTAAGCAGTTCTTGTAAATTTCATGTGAACATTTTAGATATTTTGTTTATTTTCTACACAGATAACATTTAGCAGATGTTTTTGCTGTTAATTTGATCTTTGTCTGGGCTGCTTGGGTTTAGATTCGAGACAATTACAAAAATATACTGTTTACTGTATTGCACTGCTACTAGTTAGTGTCAAACAGAACTGTGCGACAATATCAACGAAATAATAGATCGACACAAATTTAATAAAAAATAATAGGAACCACTTAATTATTATTATACATGTCATGAATGTGACACGACACGAATTTAAACATATGGGTGTGTTATGAGTTATGTAAATATTTACACGATATAATTTAAATACGTTATGAATGTAACACAACACGAATTTGTTATGAGTTATGTAAATTTTTACATGCTCATTGTCCATACTAGTGTACGATTTAACTAAAAACATGCGTGATTCATTGTCCATCCTAGCGTAGATGACGTGTATGTTGCACTCGTCAGTTTGTCCATGTCAACATATGGTTAATGGGAGGCAGCTAGTTTCTTAACTCTCTGGCTCAATGCTGTGGCTAGAAGAAGGCATGGAATTCCCGGCGTAGAAAGACATCGGGAAAACTTGAAACGCGTCAAGAAATCTGACGGTGTTCAATTAAATGTCGATAAACCATACAAGGACACATAATATTATTAAACTTAGGGGAGAGATGGAATTTGGCTAAGAAAAAATGGAAAAAAAAGTGGTCACTGACCAGAAAAAAAAAAGAAGAAAGTAGTCCACATCAGATAAATACGGGATTAAGAGTGATGAGCGATTCCATGCTTGGAAGTATAATCTTGTGTAACTCATAGTTATAAATAGACGGCATTGAATCACAACTTTACAATAAACCTTCTCTGTATAGAACTACCAAAAATAAAAAGTGAAGGGATTCACTAATTTTTTTTTATTCAAAGCCATTTAGTGTGGGTGGGGGGTTGGCATGACCCCTACTTATATATATAACTAAAAGGAAAAAAGTACAAAAGAGGAGGACATAGAGCCAAACCTCCAGAAGTACAAAGTGGGAGAAAGAAAGTTAAAGTAAAGGTAAGGTGGTGACTTACCACCAAAAACATGACAAATAAATAAACAAAAAGGGGGGACATCCTACAGAGCAAAATAACTGAAAACAAAAATTAAAATAAAATTCATCGACAAATGTGAGGAGTCTATCGAGCGTTCAAGGCAAGGATGCCAGCAATCCCAGAAAGAAAGGATAATGAATCAGAAAATCACTGGTTGAGCTGCTGAGAGCAAGCCCAATTAGCCATAAAATTTATAGCCTAATTCGCCTCCTCAAGACATGGCAAAAGCGAGCTGAGAGAGAAGAATACAAACGCCGAATCCGAGTAAGCAGGTAAGCATAAACTTAGCAGCTAGTGTCTTGAGAAGAAATCAAAAAAAATCACTGTAGCTAAATCTGACTCCACTACCAACTCTAGAGTTCCCAAATTTGTGGCCAACTCCAACCCAGCACAAACAGCCTACAACTCCGCATACAAAATAGGCTGATGCCCCAGAAATAAGCCAAAAGCCTTGAGAACCCGACCCTGGTGGCCCCAAATAACACCCCATGTTGCAGAAAGCCCCAGATTGCCTTTAGAACATCCGTCAACATTGATCTTCAGGCAACCCGCTACAGGACGAGTTCAAGCAACCAAACGAGGAGGCCGAGGCCGAGAGACCATGACCCTAAGAGAATCCACAAACTCAACCAACTCATCTCGACCCTAAGGGATTTACCAATTTACCCGCCACATTTTGATAGAAAAAAATCGACAAGGGAATATATTCTTTGCCATCTGGTCAGATGACTTTCAATGAGAATTCTCCCCCCCCCCCCCCTTTGGTGGAGGAAAAACAGAGAAATTTACATACAAAAGAAAATCCTGTCCCTTTGATTTGGGTAAAAGCAATTCAAAATTTTATGAGGTTGTGAATGAATGTTATCCTGTAGTGAAAATGCATGGTAAAAGACTTCAGAACTTTACAATGAAAATAATTAGTTTTTCCCAAAAAAAAAAATGGTAAAAAAACAAAAATAGATCCATTGAAAGAAAATCACAGAGTGATCACTAGGAGAATTACCCAAAAGAATTGTACACATCACTCTCTTCTCTCCCCTTATTTGCAAGCTCTTTACTCAGGCACAAATGTTGCACTGTCCTAATCTATCAAATGACAGTGTGCTTGGTGGTACATATCACTCTCTCCTCTTCCCATATTGGCAAGCTATTTACACAAGCACAAATGTGGCACTTTCCTAAACTATCAAATGACAGTATGCTAGCTTGTGTGAACTCAAATTAGGTTCTTATTAGTCCTAACTCCTACTATCAACGTAGCGATTCTCTGGTTGTGAAGTTGAAGCTAAATCTTTTTACGATCTTCCTAAGAAAAACCAATGGCCACCATTGGCTTTGACCCAACCACAAAATAAAAAAGCTTTGATATGATATGGTAATTGAGAATGTTGATGTTTTCTTCATACTTGGGGCCTTAATGCAGGATGACAAATGAATCTGGTCTCTTGATTCCATATCAGTGCATGTAATGGTGGTTCAGATTTTCCTAACATTGTTATTTGGTAGGATTTTAGGATTTTCGATACTGCCTTCGGGGATTGATGCTAGTAGTATGGGAGGGTTAGGACTTTCCCAATTTACACTATGTACCAAGCTCTGTAAAGTGCTTTTGTGTGTGTGTCAGAGAGAGAGAGAGAGAGGAGTAGGAAGCCTTCCAAGGGAACTGCCTAGAATAAGGAGATCGAAAATGAGAGAAAGAGAGGAATCTTTTTCCACTAGGTTCAAAGAAGTACCATATATTGTAAGGTATTCAAGCTTCAATACTCTTGTGATCTCTGCAGCTTCAGAAGTGGTCCATTAAGAATCACTGAGTAGTTCACCTAGCACAATCACAGTGACATTTTGGATTCAAAGACAACTTTGATCAGGCCTCAGTGCATCAGAAAACAGCATCCTATTTGATCTCATAGATTCTCATTGTGTCTTACCATACCTTCTCCAATTGCATTAATTAATGGTTTCATCGACCCTCCTCACCTAATCCTTTTTGACCTTTTGCCAAAAAATGTGTAGGTGCTCCTCATGTCAATAGAAGGTATACTAGAACGCCTCAGTTCTCCCCATGTTGTTATTTGTGTGCGATGAATAATCAAAGAAATAGAATAATTAGAAGATAAACACAAGAATTTTACATGGTTAAGCAACTTGTCTACGACTACAAAAGAGTGACTGCCTTATTTTTTTATTCTATACTGAAATAAGGTTACAACTTAATATACATAAGTTATAATCCTAATTAGGGCAAATTCCGAAGATACGTGCGACTCTATATATTGAATATCATCTACCTATTCTAACATTTGAAATGAACTTACATTAATACAATGCCTAATTTTTCTCAAAAAAACCTATATTAGACTGCCTTAGTTGTCTCAAAAGGCCCCATATTCCAACGTGTAAAAACCAGGAAACCATAAAGAAAATGAGAAAAAGACACAATTAGATAAAAATCAAAACCACCCAAGAATCAGTACTGAACGATGAAAAAGACATTTGATACACAAAATTTGCAAAAAAAATTCACAAAAGCATCATTAATACATCTTATCTGAATCCAGCTCAATATAGACCAATATATTTGTAATTTCAGAATTTGCATGAAACTAGTCCCCAAATGGTAATAAACTGGTTGTACAGGTTACGAACCTGCATTATAAATTCAGGCTTCCATAGCCCCTTACCACACCACCTTTCTCTCACCTTTGCTTCCACAGTTGTTCTCAAGCATTCCTTGCAATCCAGGCTTACGTAGTCTATACAGGTTTTTTCTTTTTTCTTTTTTTTTTTTGGCTAGTGAAAAAGGGGATGGGGGCAAAGAATAGTGTCCAAAGACCATTCTGATAGACCATCACTGGTAGAATCATGAGACTCCTTATTCTTGACCGCACCCGTTACTGCTCTCATGAACGAATCTAGTTAGGCTAGCATATTGGTCAACTACTGAGTCCAAACGTGAACTTCAAGACTCGAACCTCCAACTTCATGGTGAGAATTTCGTTCAGTACCCCACTGGACCACTCCACTCAATGGTGTAAGTACTATACAGGTTCAAAGTTGAAGAAAAAGTTGCTGGTCTAGACCAAATGGAGGTAAATTTTTTTCATTTCTTCTCCTTTATGTACGAAAAAATAGAAGGAAAACATAACGAGTTTGTGTCGAGTGGAAGTTTGCTAACCCTTTACAGAGGAAGCTAATGCTAATGTTTTGGGTTTGGCGATGGCTCAAGCAGACCTGGAGTAGAAATAAGCTGGTAACATGTTTTCCTTCCATTCACGTAGAATGTAAAAGGATGACTTTGACCTCCTGCACGATTCAATAGACGCTCAAGAGATGTCTTAACAACCAAACCAAATGCCTAAGCAATAGGGTGGCCTCTCAGCATACTTATCACAGATTCCAAGCTTTGAACTTGATAGGAGAAGCATAAGCATTTGATCTATGGCTTACATTTGTTTGCAAAAACTTGTGTCCTGAACTAACATGTTTGTATGCAAATGTGCAGAAAATTATATGCCCCATTATTATCCTCACTGTGTGGCTTGTCCAAGGCAAACTTGACTCAGAATTTCATATAACGGTAGCTCTCGATGGGTCTGGAGACTTCAACACAATCCCTCATGCTGTCAATGCTGCACCAAATTATAGCAGAGAAAGATATTACATAAGAATTAAAGCAGGCACTTATGTTGAGAATGTCGTCGTTAGAAAGAAAAAAACAAATATTTCTTTCATTGGAGATGGAATGGGCGTGACCATAATCACTGGTAATAAACGCGTGGGTAAAGATTTGGTTACCTTTGAAACAGCCACAGTAGGTATGTTTTATTTATCACAGACACAAAAATGCCATTGTTCAACTTTACTAGCACTTATTTATGTAATCTAAGAGGCACATACTGTTTGAGATTAGGGCGAAAAAGTTTTAAGTCTTACTATTGTTTCATATATAAAGAGGTCTAAAACATCACTAGTTTTCTTTTTCTATCAGAGATAAATGGAGTTGGCTTTATGGCAAAGCATATAACCTTCAGAAATTATGCTGGACCAACAAATGGACAAGCTGTAGCAATGAAGTGCAGTGCTACATTTTCTTCCTTCTTCCGATGTAGATTCAAAGGCTATCAAGATACCCTTTACGTCCATAGGGGTATCCAGTTTTACGAGGAATGTGAAATGTTAGGGACCACAGATATCATTTTTGGGGATGCCAAGGTGGTTTTTCAAAATTGTGGCATTTATGCTTATAATCCAGGAGAAAGGCATTCAAATGTCATAACTGTACGACGGAGGGACAGCCATGAAGATGAAGCTGGGATATCATTCTATCAATGCACAATCGCGGCTGCACAAGACTTTAACCCAAATCTAGGAACAAAAACCTATCTTGGCCGACCATGGAGGCCATTTTCAACTGTGGTTATAATGCAATCCTTCTTAGATTATATTACAGATCCGGAAGGGTAGTTCAAATCGGATAATGATAATTCTACACTCTCTTCACTATATAATGGGGAGTATCAAAATTACGGTCCTAGAGCTAACACTGCCAATAGAATAACTTGGAAAGGATGTCATAAAGCCATGAGCCTAGCTGAAGCTGAAAATTTTGCTGTGAGAAATTTTATTAATGGCCAGGCATGGCTAGGTCCAACGAGCATCCCATATACCATAGATCTGGCATGGCTACCTCCAACGAACATCCCATATACCCCAGATCGATCTAATGTACACAAAACTATGTCACCCAACATTCCCATTTGTTATAGTTTCATTTTGATCTACATTTTCAGTATTCAAATGTAATCAATGATAAATATCAAATTAAACTCTTTCACGTGCTTCTTTGCGTAATTTTGAATAGATTCAATGAGTAATTAATTATAGACCGACCTCTAGGAAAATGATAACTCCATTGTTGACTTTTAACCTAGCACCAGTTCATAATTATATCATTTCTTTCTTATTTAACTATACACATATTGTAACATTATCATTCCTGCAACAGTTAATTTTCAAGTGTATTGTTTTTTTTAAAAAACCAATATAAATTCGGTATTGTATAGCATTGACGGTCTAATGGTTGTTTCATAAAACTTGCCTTTCAATCTAGGGATATATAACGATCACATAACATACTAGATGCATTCATGCACTTAGTCCATCCTCCTTGAATTTTATAAGTAACATTGTCTTCATCAATCTCTCACTCCCTATGGATGAATGACTCTAAATACTAAATGTTGTAATTTTACGGTGGTAATCCAAGAAGTTGGAAATGCATGATACTGTCTTTAGTTCATTGAGGTAATTCAATGAGTTTGTTGAAATTTTTTTTTCCATGAGTTATAATAATGAATGGTACCATCTATTGCCACTGCTCTCATACGAAAGATGGCTCATTGGACTAAATTAATCAATTGATTGAGAAGGCCTTTATAAGTTTGATAATCTAAGCAATAATGCATGCAAGTAATCAAGTATTACAGCAACTTATTTAGTAAGATGGACCATTACTTCAACCATAAAATGTAGACAATCTCTCCAGCTATTTTTGAGAGCTCATGTAGGGCGTTGTTCTCTCTTTTTAATGGTGATTTACGAGGTGCCGGTGGGTTTTTGAAAACATCTTCAGAATCCAACGCATCTCTGCTAGCATAAACAGCGCCTGTACTTGCAGATTTATAATTCTTAGAATCTAAATCCGCAATTGCATATTCGAGATATTTTACTGCATCATCTTCATATAGCTCGATGCAAACATTAAAATACCTCTTCAATATAGGGTCCCTCGCGTTATTATTCAGCTGACGGATATATGTTAAAGTAGCTTTCGCTTTAGCTAAAGACAATTCAAGCATTATATGGGCAAGCCCTTTGACATTTGCTTTAGAACTTCGAGGATCAGACCGAAGAGATGAGACACATAAATCATGATTCTCTGAAGATCACTCACCATGTATTAATGAGGGACCTACTTATAAATATTAGGTTCCATGAATTAGATATCAAAATTTAGAGAAAGTATATAGAGGAAAAGCTAAATTTGTCCATTATGCAATAGCTCCCTAGGAGGGATCATCAGGTTGAGAAGGTGTTATATACTTTGTTTTGGGTACAAGAACATTAATGAAGCGTGTAGAAGGCAAGGGATTAGGAGTTGGTCAAGTAATCATATTTGTTTTCTTAAGAAGAATGAATGCAAAAAACTTCCAAGTAACCTATTGGAAAGGTACAAAATGGAGAGAGAGGAATCTTATCTATCCTGTTCAAAGAATACCATAAGGTAAAGGTTGTCAAGCCCTTATATTGTTTTGATATGCAACTTCGGAAGTGGTCCATTAAGAATGGCAGGTTAGTTTGCCTAGGACAATAACAATAGAATTTCTGGCAAAAAAAACACTTCAGATTAGGCCTAGTTCAATGCACAAACCACATCCAATTTGATCCTATAGTTTGTCAGTATGTATTAGTTTTCCATGAAAAGACCATCCTTCCAGAAACTGTGTATATAGCATTCTGCTGCCTATCCTAATAGCCCCTCAAATTTACTCTCAGTGGGGTATGCTTTTCGTTAATATGATATGGAGTATCACCAAAGAAAAGGCCAACAGCCTTTATCAGTTTCACACTTGATTTCTCTATAAGGCAACGCTACTTTCTGCTAGGCCATGAAGGGATTTGGCAAGTAGCTCTCAATTTGTTCGATGAAAATCGATATCTTTCATGTGGTGCCATTTGGATAATCCCTTTTATGGACAATAGATGTGCAATAAATGACCTAAAATGGCCATTACGCAAATTGATCAACTACTGTTGCACCAAAAAGTATCGTGGTTACTGATGATACCAAAATTACTCCAGAAATAAGTAGAAGGATATCTCCATATTTTGTCTCCAGCAAGGCTCAAAAACCAAGTCATCCTTGTCATTACACGAGGAAAGTCAATATTTTTAGCTTAGGTCAAGCATCTAAATCAGACTCTTTTTTCACGAGCTAACCAAATAATAAGAGGTAATCCCAAGCAATATGACCTCACGGTATGAGCTCTCACAAACATGAAAGACCACAACGTACCTAAGCTTGGAGATAAGTCTCGATGCCACCTCATCATGTTATGGAAGACCACATTGCACTAAGAGAATGTAGTCTCTAATGACCAAATATTTTTTTTGACGAAGTCCTAACAAACTAAGGGATCATGTGATGATGGCGTGAGGACTACCCCATTTGTGGGTATAAATACTTGAAGCAATCACCCACACAAAAAGGCCGATGGTAATTTCTATAACTGTAACCTCTGTCTTCTTTCCCAAGCAATATGAAGTAACCTAAGCAAAATAAAGTTTCCCAAGGAACAAAAAACTCTATTAGAGTAGATTAGTTAAACTCTTCAGCTGATAAATCATTATATTCTGTGTGTTCTTCCTTATGTTCTAGCTCTTACCTCTATCTTACAACTCTTGTAGCATTTTATAGAGCCATAAGACTCTTACTCTCTCTGATCGCTCACGGTGCTCTCGCCACAATCACTGTTTCATAGCCTTAAACTTCTCAGCTTAAGCACCCAACTCACACCGTTGAGTTTTTAACATCATCAGTTAGATTCATCCTCCCTCTATTTTAAGCCTTTGTCATTCACGTATGGAGTCCTATCCACTGAAATTCTCTCAGTCTTACCACCTTGATGTGGCTGTTCCCTGTACCACCATTTACAAGATGTTTAGAGTTCAGATCCAACACATATGCTAGGGCTCTTCTGCCATTTGCGAGAGCTTCCTTGTGAAGGAAAAGTTCTTTGTTTTTTGGGACATTTGTGAAGAATAATTCAAATAACATTCATGTGACACTGCTGTAATGTTTCAAATAATATTATGTAGTCAAAGATAATGCTCTTATTGCTCTTATATTATGTAGTCAAAGATAAGGGTTGAAGATTAATGAAAAAATTGATATAAACATTACTCCCTCCGTTTCTAAATATCTTTCGTTTAAGGTTTTTACACAGGAATTAAGGAAGTTATTAAATAGTTGTAATATGAGTAAAAAATAATTACACAAGACTAAATACCTTATTCAATATGTATTGGGAAATAAAAGAATATAAAAGACACTTAGTCTCCACCAAATCTAATGCATTAAAAAATTAAGGGTAAATTTTTAAAAAAAATATTAATTATACTTTGGTTTCATAAAACGACAGATATTATAAAATAAAAAAAATTATGTAAAATAACAAATATTTAAAAACGAATAGAGTAATAAACATAACATTATTGTTTTAGCGCAGATACCTTGTTTTTTTCTTTTTTGTCTTAATTATGAATGCTGCTTTTGTTCATTTATGGCTGTCATGATGACATACTATTAGCTCCTTCATTTAGAGAGTTTGCTTATGAAAAAAAGTTGACCGACTCTCCTATTATTAATCACAATAATTTTCTTACTCTTTGATACACAACTGTCATTGACTATATTAAATATCACGTGTGGAACAATTGGATTTCCACACTCCAACAATTGAGTGCATTCAAATGTTTTGTACGGAAGATTAGCGATTTGTTGAATGGTCACCGTGTCTACTATTAAACTTTAAAATTGTAGATTCAAATCTTGTCATTCTTTTTCTGTAACGGTGCATAAAAAAATTATTTTCTATGGACATATAGGATATTTCATTCCAAAATGTGATATATATGTTATTCTATTATGTATAACAATCAAATATTGGGGCCTATGTAATCACTTCTAACATCTTTGTATTTTTATTTTTTTTTGGAACACACTTCTAACATCTTTATTAACATCTTTATTAATGGACATTTTTTCAATAATGTTGGATGGGGATTGGGGTAGGAATGACAGTAAGGGGTGTGATGGTGAAGGGATTGTAAATTACGTGTATTACATGAAGCAATGATCACATTTCATTGGAGAGAGCTTGAGGTGCCTTCCATCTTCAAATTATAAATTCTCCTAATTTATATTATTTAAATGATTTTCTCTAATTAAATAATTTAATTTGAGAAAATCCTTAATTTTCTCCATTATTAAACCTGTAATTTTCAAAAATCATTCTTCTCTTTTTTACTGAAAATACTTGCTGTTTGGCCTTTTATTTTTAAGAAAAGGAGAAAAAGCAGTAGAATAACTTAACAGAATATTACCAATCAGTACTTAATTGCTATTGGAATAGCCCATATCATATTGCTTCTTACTAAAGTATTACTCGGATTATTCGTCATGATCTCTTGAGAACTTGGTCAAGAACGAAGAGATCATTTAGGAAAGATGGGAGTTTTTTTTTTTTGGTAAGTAAATGACTTCTAGAGCATTGTTTTGATTTGTTAATGCAGATTTGCGAGTTAATGGTGATTTGCGAGTTTCTGGNTCGGTAAGTAAATGATTTCTAGGGCATTGTTTTGATTTGTTAATGCAGATTTGCGAGTTAATGGTGATTTGCGAGTTTCTGGTGGTCCTTTGAACACATCTTCACAATCCTGAGCAGCCTCTCCAGCATAATGGGCATTTGTAGTTACGGAAGGTAAATATATTCATAAGAAAAAAAAAAAAATAGAGGTGATGCTCACATGACAATGCATCCACCCAATACAAAAGTAGAACAAAAAGATTTACAACAACCAAGAGTATAGAATTCTAAAGAAAGTGTCAGTCTTGAGCTGGTACTTCCAGCAGAATCCAGACTCAAAGGAGACAAAGAAAGCAAAGAGGCTTCCATCAGATAATATGGAAAGCCCAATGCCAACATACATGCCAACAGCCAAGTGGGAGAACAATGGATGAAGGAGTCAGAAGAACCTTTCATGCTCTTAGGATGTACTCCTCATAACAGAGCCAACATACAACAATCAAGGCAGCATTCAAGAGCAGTGAAACAAGAAAGCTATGAACAGTGCCCAGCGACTGTGGCAGGCTGTAATGGAGACCAGGCAGCAGACCAAGGGCAGCAGACACCATAATAAAAGGCAGCTAAGGTGAACCAGCTGAAACAACAAATAAAGGTTATCAACACTCTGCTGAAGAAAGTAGAAAACATAGGAGAAAGGCCACCAGTTGCATTAAACAAGTTGTGCACTTGAACAGTGCACGTGAACAGTGCATTCCTGTCAACAAAACACTTCAAGGTGCAGGAGACCCCCAGCAACATGATCCACCCCAAAGCAAATGTCCCCAGAACCAGCACAGCAAACAACGATTAACCATGATCATCATGTATAAGGGCACCCCAGTGTGCAGAACATGCAACAGCTCCTGCCTCATCTACAAACGCAGGACATTTCTAGCACATATCATTTGAACCTAAGCCATAGCAAGAAGCTGCCAAGCTTGAAGGAGAGACAAGTTTTTTGGAGAACTCTTGAATTTGATTGTGACTAATCTATCTTTGATGATTTGCAAGACACACTTCACAAGACTTCTACAATCCCTAAACTGGTTTGTATGGAGTCCTCTATTCCTTTCCTTCCATATTATATACACAGTAGTTGCCAAGCACAACTTCTTTAACACCTTACCAAGTGACTTACCTTTCCAACTTTGACTTGCATAATCGTTGAAATTCTGCCAAGAGCTCGGTAGACCTTGTTCACCACACAGTTGCATAATAAAAATCCAAATATCTTGTGAGAACTGGCAACTAAAAAAGAGGTGAGAATGAGATTTTATGTCATGCCTACATAGGATACATGTCACATCAACATCTGGCGCAAATTTTTGCATTCTATCTTTAGTGTTAAGCCTTTCCTTTATTCCTAGCCAAAGAATGAAGCTCATCCTGGGTATGCATTGTCCATACCACAGCAAATGGTGCCAAGGTACCTCTTGCCCAGGGGCCCTAAGGTGATTCTAAGCCGAATAAGAAGAAAATTGTCCATTTGTTGCTATAGTCCACTTCACCTGGTCTTCCTTATTTGTCAGAGGAATATATGTAGGCATATGATTTGAAATCTCCAAGAGATTAGGTGTACCTGTGGAAGGCCATGACCACCTATTGTTGCTCACGATTGCAGCCACGTTAGCATCCTTAGGTAACCCTGCATGATCAATAACATTATCACTCCATCTAAGTAGAAGAGGACCATGAGGGTGCCAATTACCCAACCAAAGGCTAGTACTCTCTCCATTACTAGTAACATGTTGAATTAGAGGTTTAATTATTGGTCTCAGTTTCAAAAGGTTCAGCCAATTCCAAGAGCAAGAGTGAGGTGGCTTAACTTCCCAGATGCTTTTCCCTCTTAAATGGTAAGAATGAATCCATTTCACCCAGAGACTTTCTTTGTCCATAAATAAAATCCACAAATACCTCATCATCATTGCCATATTCGTCTCCTTAAGTCTTCTAATCCCCAATCCCCCTTCTTTCTTAGGTCTGCAAATGTCCACCCAGGCCACTTTGGCTCCAGTAGGCTTGAGATCAGTTCCCTTCCAGAGGAATGATCGAAACATTCTTTCTAATTTATCGAGAACTTATTGGGGAATAAAAATGTGGGCTGACCAGAAATTTTGGGTGCTATTGAGCACAGAGGTAATCAATTGAAGTCTTCCAGCAAAAGATAGAAACCTGTTGGTCCAATTTTTCACCCTAGCCTCCATTTTTTCCATCAGAGCATCACAATATTGTCTCTTGAATCTAGTGGACACCAAGGGGATCCCCAAATATCTCACAGGAAGTGCACCAATTCGAAATCCCAAAATATTAGTAATCTGACATTTTGCCTCATCAGACATCCCAACCATGAATACATTGCTTTTCAAGGGATTAGCTCTAAGCCCAGAGAGGACTTGAAACTGGTCAATCACAACTATCAAAATTCTTATAGACTGAGCATCTCCATGATGCAAAAATAAGACATCATCAGCAAAAAGTAGGTGAGTAAGAGTCATCTTCCTACATCTCCAATGAAACCTGAATGAGGGATTAGAGGTAATTTGCTGCAATATGACAAAACTAAAAACTTCCATAGCCAAAACAAAAAGGTACGGTGAAAGGGGATCACCCTGCCTAAGTCCCCTAGAGCTTAAAAAAAATCCTGCCATCTCCCCATTTATATTAACAGAGAACCGAGGAGAAGTAATACATTCCCTTATCCAATTTCTCACCATTTCTGGAAAATGTAAAGCTTCAAGGACATCCAAAAGGAAATGCCAATCCAATGTGTCATAAGCTTTCATAATATCCAATATAATAGCACATCTGGGAGGACCACAATTTCTATGATAGTCTCTAAGGAGTTCCTGAGTAAGCATAATATTCTCCCCAATTTTCCTTCCTTGAACAAAGGCAGTTTGATTAGAGCTTACAATACCTTGGAGTACAGCCTTCACTCTGCTTGCCAGAATCTTAGAGATGACCTTATACAACAAGTTACAACATGAGATGGGTCTGAAGTCCCCCCATTGAGTTTGGATTTGGACTTTTAGGGGTAAGGGCAATCACAGTGGCGTTGAGCTCTTTAAATAATTTCCTAAATCTAAAAACTTCTTTCACTACAACTATGAAGTCCCTACCAATCATTGGTCATGCCTTTTTGAAGAAGTATGCAGTAAATCTATCAAGACCAGGAGCTTTCATATTATTAAAGGAGAACAACACCTCTTTGATTTCCTCATCTTCAATATCTCTGATCATATGATTTGCTTGCTGCTCAATGACCTTCTTAAGTAGTAGAGATCTTAATAATGCTCATCTCTCTAGGGGAGAAGTAAGGTTGCTGTAGTACCTAAAAGTCTCTGAAAATAGTCAATAGCTTCACCCTTAACTACTTCCTCTCCATCAGCCATTCTACCATCAACAGATTCAAGTTTTAAAATCTTCTTCTTGTTCCTTCTGCAGTTCATAGATTTAAAGAAAAAAGTGGTATTTTTATCTCCCTCACTCAACCATAATATTCTAGATTTCTGTTTATATAGGATTTCCTTGTTCCTTGCAGCCTCCAAGTAATCATTGAGTAAAAGTTTCTCCACCTGTCTAAGTGCTGAGTTTGAAGGGTTAAGGTCAAGTCTCCTTTGGCAATTATCAAGCAAATCTTTCTTTTCTCTGACAACGGTTGCAAGCTCACCAATTTCCTTGCTCTTTTCTTTAAACACTGCTTTTAGTTTCTTAAGTTTAAAACAAAGTTTGAATTGGTTAGATCCTTGAATAGGCTCCTGCCATACCTAGGTGACAATGTGCAGAAAATCTTCTCTGTCAGCCCAAAAATTAAAGAACTTAAAAGGGCACTTCTTCCTATTCGCCTCCTCTCCAATCTTCACCACTGCAGGACTATGATCAGATACTCCCGGGGGTAAGAATTCAGCTACAGCTCTATCAAATTTCTGAATCCAAGCCTCATTTACAAGGGCTCTATCAAGTTTCCTTGAAACACATACACCTTCTTCTCTTCTACTGCTCCAAGTGAAGAAAAGCCCTAAGTACCTAAAATCAACAAGCTCAGCTTTTTGAACACAATCATCAAAATCCCCCATAGCTTGCACCCATCTGTTCAATCCGCCATGGTTCTCATTGCAGCTTCTTATAGCGTTAAAATCCCCAATAACTAACCAAGGGTAGGATTTAAAGAGACCGGCATGGTAAACAAGATTTTTTCACAAGTCCTTCCTCTCATTTTCCTCATTTGAGCCATATACAAAGGAAACACAAAATTTAGTTGCAGTGTCCAAATGTACCACCTCACAGTGCACCACTTGATCAGTTTTCGAGAGCTTAGTTACCATGACAGAGTTAGGATTCCACCCAATCCAAATCCTACCAAAAGTATGACTGCTGTAGTTTACCAAAAACTCCCATTGTCTAAAAATGTTATTTCTGACAACTGAAATATTTACACTTCTCACCTTGGTTTCAACAATCCCCACTAAATCAAGGTGGCTTTCAAAAACTAATTTCTTTACTGCTTCCTGCTTAGAGGATTTGTTAAATCCTCTTATATTCCAGCAGGCTAACTTAATCATAGGAGAGGAGAAAGCCTGAGTTTGAAGGGCTCAGTCCTTTTATCTTTCTTTTTCCCAGAGGACTTTTTCTTAGCTTTTTTCTTCTTATTCTCCCAAGGTTGCTTACTTGCCTCCCTGTGGTTATGATCACAACTGGTTGCAGCATAGTCTAAATCCACCACCAAATTACCACCCTCAATTTCCAACCTATCAAATCTGTTTGAAGATGTAGTAGGTATAGACAGTTGAATTGGGACCTGCACTTCCACAGGTGAGATGGATGTCACCTGAGTTTCATCCTGGAGTCTATGAATGGGCTGCCTGAGTATAGCAGCACCAATTTCACTGTTGCTACTACACCCAGGATCTAATGGAGGCTTCTCTTTTGACATGACCATCTCCGTTGTTAGTTCCACCTCATTGGATTTGATTTCCTTGCCATTGTCAGCAACAAGAGGATGAGATTCCTTTTGGGAATGTTTGGGCTTCCAAATGGTTTTTGTCACCATCTTAGGACATGTGGACTCATTATGGACGAATATATGGCAACTTTGGCACACTTTGGGCTTCCACTGATATTCAACTTGTATTTCAACCTTCTCATCTTTCCCCTCAACATTCACCCTGAGATCAAAAGAGTCAATAAGCCTGGTTCTGGCTTGAATTTCCACACACACTCTGACAAAAATCAGTCTTTTCCTAGATGCAGTTAGTATGTCTGCATACAGTGGCTTGCCTATAGCACTAGAAATATAGCTTAGCCCCTCTTCATTCCAGAATTGGAGTGGAACATTGAATAGCTTAATCCACACCGGGATAACAGAGTGATCTTCTTTGGCAATGATTATTTCTGGCTGCCATCTCTTGAGGATTAGAGGCCTCCCCGCAAACAACCAAGGCCCCCCTTCAATAACAGCAGTCCTAGTCTCTTCACTCATGAACTTGAAAAAATAAAATCCTTTATCATTTGCAAGAACCTCTAACAATCCCATTTCGCCCCATACTTTATGGGCAAGGAAATTTACAGAGGAGTATGACAGTTTCTTCTCAATAAAATACTCAACTAGGCAATTTTGCCACTCAAGGCTTCCTCTCATACCTACCTCTTTCGGAGGTGATACCACAAGCCTCTCATTCTCTTTTAGTGGTTCATAGTATTTGAGTTTCATACCTGCAATTTGGGTTCCGTTGAAGGTCTTTGAAGCTTCTCCATCCAAACCAGATTTAAGAATCTGACTCCAAGATGGTATTGGGGAGTTGGGCTTCTGCGCCTGGCAGTCAATACCTTGTTGCAGTGAGGTGAGGTATGTTCTGGCTGTGTCTCAGCCCTTGAGATTAATTCACTATGCTGACTTTTTGACAGCTCTGATGCATTTGGGGTAACACCTTGATGGGGAACAGAGACTTGAGTTGCATCTACATAGTTGTGAGCTCTACTCGCCACACTATCTGGCTTACTGGAAGATTCATTTGGGATCACTTCTGCAGCAATGGCTTGGCTTCGTACCACTTCATGCTCAGTCATGAGTTGTGTATTCATTGCTTTCTCATACGCAACAGTGCTGAGCTCATGAGAACTCATAGGAGATCTGGATTATGGATTAGATTAAGTATATATGGCTGGTGAATTAAAGATTTTACAATGGATTCAGAGGTGGGTGCGGAGGATTTAATGTAGGAAGGTTTAAGGAGGAGAGAGAGAGATGGGTATGGAAGAGGGTTTTAGAAACAAGTGGTCAGGAAATGAATTGATGAAAGATGAGGTTAATAGATGGGCCAAGAACTGTAGATCAGGCAAATAATGGATGGATTAAGCAAAGATAGGGACGAACAAGAGAATGGTGGGTTCAAGGAGGAAGAGAAAACAGAAGAGCCATTCACGCAGAACCCTACAAATTGTTTTCTTATTGACATGAGATTGTGGCAATTAATTCAGTAAGTACATTTGTGTAAGTGCATCTGTAGTTGAATCTCCGTAATCGTTCGAATCCAGATCCACAATTTCAATTCGGAGAACTTTGTCTGCAATAACATATTGCTCAATGTAACCACTAAAGTACCGCTTCCATATACGATTTGTTGCCTTATTTTTCAGCAAATGGATATAAGATAATGTGGCCTTAGCTTTAGTTATAGACAACTCGAGCATTACACGAGAAAGCCCTTTAACTTCAGCTTTGGAGCTGCGTGGGTCAGATCGAAGAGATGAGACACATAAATCGTGGTTGTGTGTACGCCTACAAGTATTTTCTATCAGATCATCTTCTTTTTCTATCATGAGAGTAGAGGATTGACTCCAGGGTAAGTAGGTGAGAAGAAATATGGAAACAATGACCAGTACTTGAGAAGATAAACTCTCCATTCCTAGGGGTGCAATGTGAGGGTGAGGGATGGGTGTATGTGATGCTAAGTTTATGTGTTGTAGCTAGTTGCCTTTTGTAGGACTAAAATTTGAAATTTGGACTCCCAAACTTAGCAAATGACAGCTTTGACCAATTTGATAATTATGAGATTTTCCTAGATATATTGATAACAGAAAGCAAAATTTACTGCAGTTACACTGGTTTTTTTTAATGCAGTCAAAGATAGCTATCCAAAGCGAATGAAAAAAACAAAAGCAAGTCAATTGTGACAATCATACAAGGAATATCAAACAGTGAAGATACAAGGAATATCAAACAGTGAAGATACGAGTAACGTTATTTAGACTTAAAAATTTGAATTTAGGATGTGTTTTCATTATAACCATTCACTTAACACCAAATTTCAATATTCCATGGCGCCTGATTAAGAGTCCATCCATGCACCCTGATTAAGAGGTGCCGACTACATTTTGTTAAGCTATCTAGTACATGCATATAACAGACAAAACCACATGGCATGAAAGAAAGTGCTCACAAATAACCTTGAATCGTTTCAAATGCTCAAACAATGGTCTGGTAGTAGTATTATCACTGAATATATAGTCAGAAGTAATCCATCTAACAAATTACAAGTTTGACTATTTTAAGAACGATTTGTCAACACGACATTAAATCGATACAAGATTGACAAGTTTGAGTTTAGTGGGGTCTGGTGGACTATGGTTAGAACAACTAAATTTACTTGATAAATAGATCGACACAAACTCGTCTAAACAGAGCGAACAACATATAAACATGACGTATAGATGATATGAAACTGACAATAGCCAATAACAAGTCGAATTAGTATGATTGAAAGAATTTTGATACAAGACAACACACGACATGAACTCGCCAACATAACACAACCCATTGTCAAAATTAATATTTTGTATTAAACACTCAACAAGGAATTATCATTGAGTAACATCCTTTTCAAACCGTTGTCGTCTTATGAAATTGTTAGAATTTAGAATACGGTCTTAAGAAATAGCACTCCCTTTCATGGCAGCCAAGCAGCCATAGAATGTCAGAAATTTCTTGCATCATCTTAGATGCACATTGATGCTTTTCAGAAGAGTTGCACCTCTACCAAGAATGTGCTATTGCTACTTAGATTCCATAACAAGTAAACAATGCAGGCAAATCAAAAGGCTAGCTTTAATATCAGTTAAGCAGTGCCAATATTAATGCAACCATGGATCTCAATGATTCCAACATGTAGATGATTTCTCCAGCCACTTTGGAGAGCTCATGCACAGCTGTGTTCTGATTAGATAATGGTGATTTGCGAGATTCAAGTGGTCCTTTAAATCTATCTTCACAATCTTGTGCGTCCATGCTAGTATAAACAGCATCAGTACTTGAAAATTGGTAATAGTTGGATTCCAAATTCAAGATTGCCATGGGGAGATCTTTCTTCACAGCATCATCATATTGGTAAATGCAAGAGTTAAAGTATCATTTCAAAATGAGATATGTCGCCTTATTGTCCAACTGTTGGATATACAACAAGGTGGCCTTGGCTTTAGCCAAAGATAACTCAAGCATTATGTGAGCAAGCCCTTTGACATTTGCTTTAGAGCTCTGAGGATCAGATCGAAAGGATGAGACGCATAAATCATGATTTTGTGTGTGTTTGTAAGCTTCTTCAATCAAATCAGATTCCTTCTCAATTGCTAAAGTAGAACATTGGCTCATGGGTAAGTGGATAAGGGGAAATAGGGAGACGATGATGAAAATTAGAGACATTAACTTCTCCATTAGGGTTAAAATGAACATGCTGATTAAGGTTTTAGGTTGTGGTTGTTTCTTTTTATAGGATTAACATTTGAAATTTGAACTCCCCACCTAAGCAAATGACAGCTTGGACAAATTTGATAATTATGACATTTAACTAGAATAATTGGTAACAGAAATCAAAATTTATTGCTCTTTCACTTTAATTTTTTTTAATTTAGTCAAAGATAAACTGCTAACAATGACTGAGAACAAAAGCTCTATATGTGGGGGTTTGCTTCAAAAATAACTTGATAGACTTTACAGTTGAGAATGATGATAATTGAATTGAAATAAAATTGTGCTTCCCAAATTAAACTTAAATGTTCCTATTTAAATTGAGCTTCAAGCATATATAGCAGCATGATTCCAGGTAGAATTATGATTCAATTTGATTTGAATTCGGTTCAACTGAAAATCAAAAAAGTCGTCCAATTAAAGAATTATATATTAGCTTTGGTGCCCTTGCCCAAATTATACCTCAGACAAGCAAGAGAAGGGCTCATACGGGGTCACATAGGGGACGCAATTCATCGCTCGGTGAATGGATATATTTTGCAGGATATTTTGAGAAAAACCACCACTTGATTAAAGTTTTATTAATTTTCGATCGCCTTTATAGAGAAACCAGATATGAGAAGCAAATGCAAACCAGTTAAAAATTTGAATAGAAATTTTAAATGTCATTGACATATGCGAGCTGCTGCAATATTTTATTATTTTTCATGTGTCTAACGGGAGATAAGTGAACATCGTAGTGCTTATTACCAAAGAATTTTACTCAGATTTTTCTTCATGGTCTCTCAATGAAGAGATCCTAAAGAAGCCAGTTTTAACCCACTACACAAAATTGAAAAAAGTTGTCCAAATAATGTAAGTATGTGGCAAAAAGTCACAAAAGACTAAATGCTTTTATATGTACCAGTTTTTGAAGCCATACTCACATCAAGGCAGTTCTCTGCACTTGACTACTAAAAAGTGAGAAGTGTCAAGAATTTACTTATTTGCAAATTAAACCTTATTTTAGTATCAATGACTGACATCACAAACACCCTAGAGAATAAAATCAAATCAATCTACCCAAATGTGTTCTGTTCTATAGGACGTTCCCTGAGAATATTTATTGGTTGGAATCTATATATATACATTTCTTTTTTTGGTGGCGAGAAAACAGTGAAATCACATGTACAAGAAATTATATTCTATGGATCTTGCTAAAACACTTTAAAATTTTGTTACGTTATAAATCAATGTTCTCCTATTTTGAAAACCTGTTGTACATTAAATGTATTTGGTAGAAGACTTCAAAACTTGTTTGTCTTCAAATCAATTAAGCTTATCCAAAAAATAAATAAAAAGAAGCAAAAGAAAATGATCTATTGAAAAAAACTCATGAACCAGCCATCAGGACTATTACCCAAAATATTGTGGAACTTTTCTAACATATAAAATAATAGTGTGATATGCTAGTGCGACCTAAAATTGTGGATATTCTTATTACTCTAAGTTCTACCCAAATAGTAAACAACTATATCCACTCGTCTTAAAGAAAAATCAATTGTAGATTATTCACCGTGTATTTATGGAAGTCCACTTTTATATAGGTTGTAGGTCTCACTTGAATTTCTGTTGAATGATCTAATATTGAGAGAAATTGAAAAAAAAAATGTTTTGAAAAATCTCAATCAATCTTTTACATAGGAGCGTACTAGAAGAAACCTTGTGTATTATGTTCAACGAAATACCATAATCATATTCAAACCTTTTTCTGAATGATCAGATTCAAGGCTCAATAGTGTTGTGATTTGCAACTTTCAGAAGTGGTCCCATTNACGAAATACCATAATCATATTCAAGCCTTTTTCTGAATGATCAGATTCAAGGCTCAATAGTGTTGTGATTTGCAACTTTCAGAAGTGGTCCCATTAACAACCGCAGGAGGTTAGTTCACCTTGCACAATCACAATGACATTTTTGAGAGAAAGACGCCATAGATTTGGCCTCAGTGCACCAGAAACGACATCCAATTCGATTTCATAGGTTCTGATCCATGGCTTATCAGACCTTTTTCCAATTTCATACACAGCTCATCAGCCCTCCAAAAACTGCACCATTCTCCTAATCCTCTTAGCCCTTTCACCAGAATATATATATTTATGTGTATATGCATGTATGTATGGATGTCTCTCAAGTCAATTGAAGATATACTGGAATGCCACAGTGCTCTCAAAATGGGCCTATATCACAATGCCTAAGTTTTCTCAAAATAAACCGAAGATTAGTTTGCCTCAGTTTCTCAAAAGAACCCATATTCAAACGGGTAAAAGAGAAACAAAGAAAATAAGCAGTGGACACAATGGGGAAGGCAAATTCCCACAAGAATTAGTGAAAGATAAAAAGGTACACCTATAAATGAAAGATGCAAAACAATTTCACAAAAGCATCATTGATGCATATAACGTGAAACTAAATCAATAGGCAAAATTGCATGAAACTAGTCCCCCTAATAGAAAGTCGGTTTTGAATCTATCCAAATGGAACGAAAATTATCTGTTGTACAAGTTACAAACATGCATTATAAATCCTGGCTTCCATAATCCCTTGCCACACTACCTTTTTCTCGCCTTTGCTTCCTCTGTTGTTTAAGGAATTACTAGCAATCAAAGTTTCCACAGTACTACTAGTGCGAAGTTGAAGCATAGTTGCTGGTCTCTACCAAATGGAGGTAAATGTTTTATTTCTTCCCATTTTCATTAGAAAAATGAAAGAGAAAAATAATTAGTAGGTGTGGCCAATGGGAATTTTCGATCCCTATACTATACAGCAAATTAAACTAACGCAGAAGTTTTGGGTTTGGCGATGGCTCAAGCAGACGTAGAGTATTTAATCATGTATTACATTTGTATGAATAAACCCTAACGATATACATCTCTTCTTCTACATCACATTGGACTATTGAAAATGTTTCAAGTACCCGTATCAAACACCTGACACTTGGGTAAGGACAATGGGCGTGTGTCCGGCACCATAGCAAGCATTTACAGTAATCAAAAAGACCACTCTCTGGTCACTATCATCATCTATGTATTTATTTCAGGATCTAGACAACAAATTCTTTTGCTTTTTTTTTTTTTATCTTGATGCAAATTTTTCACGTACTAGCCATTACATTCCTTTTAACGTGATATTTGGGAAACCACATGAACTTTCCAACGTACTACAAGTTCTGGTTGCTTACTAAACAGTTATACCACTGAAGATACTCACTCCCAATATTTTCTTCAGTTCCCCACCTAAAGAAAATTAGACTATATTCAAACGACGGAAAAATGATTATTTTACATTACTTTGTTGCAGTTCTAATTTGATTGTATTCAAATGTGCAGAAAATTTTGAGTCTTGTTATTATTCTCGGTCTTGGGTGCATTGTCCAAAGCCAGCTTATTCCACAATCTGGCATAACCGTAGCCCAAGATGGATCCGGTAACTTCACTACAATCTCTGATGCTGTTGATGCTGCACCAACTTATAGCAAGCAAACATATTATATCCAAATTAAAGCAGGCACCTATGCTGAGTATATTATTGTTGGAGTAAAAAAGACAAATATTGCTTTTATCGGAGATGGGATTGGTGCAACAATTATCACTGGCAATAAGAGCAATGGTACACACTATAGTACCTATGATTCAGCCACAGTAGGTATGTTTCGTTCAGCATATATACTCTTGATTGTATCATACATATGAACAACATTATTGGTCAAACGGAAGATAGATATCCATTCTCGGAGTATCTATTGCAAAGGAACAGAATAGCTTAATGAGTTGCATCACATTGGCATTTAACATATTATCACTTCTTATGTCACACGCGTCCTCTTAATAACCTAATAAAAACATACAAGTCATTTTAAAATAAGTTGTATCTTCCTATTCAATAGATCTTTTTGCATACTACTGAGCATAATGTTTGGAATAAGGGAAGAAATTTATCGTATTATTAATGTTCCATAAAGAGGTCCAAAAATCATTACTTATATATATTTTTTATCAACAATCGATGGAAATGGGTTTATAGCGAAGTATATAACCTTCCGAAATTCTGCTGGACCAAGCAATGGACAAGCTGTAGCAATGAGGAGCAGTTTCAGCTTATCTGCATTCTACAAGTGTAGATTTTAAGGCTATCAGGACATACTTTATGTCCATAGAGGTGTCCAATTTTACAGGGAATGTGAGATATTTGGGACTATAGATATTATATTTGGAAATGCCAAAGTGGTTTTCCAAAATTGCAGCATTTTCGTTCATAATCCTGGCCAGAGGCATTCAAATGTAATAACAGCACAAGGGAGGGGAACAAGTGATCAAATTACTGGGATTTCCATCCACAACTGCAAAATCATGCCTGCGAAGGACTTCAATTCCAATTTAGGGATAAAGACATACCTTGGCAGGCCATGGAGAAAATTTTCTACTGTGGTTATAATGAAATCCTTCTTAAGTAATATAATAGACCCAGAGGGATGGCTCAAATGGAATAACGCTACTTCTTCCCTCTCCTCATTGTATTATGGAGAATATCATAATAAGGGTCCTGGATCTATCACTGTGAAAAGAGTACGCTGGGAAGGAGTACATAAAGCCATGAATATAGTCGAAGCTGAAAATTTCACGGTGAGAAATTTCATCAATGGTCAAGCGTGGTTACATCCAACTGGCATCCCATTTTTTCTAGATCTATAGTACATTGAAAAACACCATCCAGAGTTCCCATCTGTAATTGTTTCTTTGTGATCTACATTTTTAATATCTATATATAATCATTTTACATATGAACTTAAGTTCTTTCAGATATGACTTGCTTCTGTAAATTTGTTTCCTTCGTCCAATGCTTGATTACAAAGAATTTGACTGATAGATGTCCATGAGAACAAAATTTCTCATATTACTATCACATTGTCTAATAACTCAGTATTATGACATATTAAAGATTTCAACAATGGATAAAGGTTGGAATGGACAATAAATATTCTACTAAATCAGTATGGACAATATATATTATTGAATATTCTAATAACTCAGTAACCATCTGTTTTGGTATGGACAATACATACCCAGGATGAGCTTCATACTATGGCTAGCAATCAAGGAAAGGTTAAGCACTAAAGACAGAATGCAAAAATTTGCACCAGATGTTGAACTGACATCATGACATGTATCCTCTGCAGGCATGACATGAAATCCACTTTCACCTCTTTTTTAGATGCTAGTTCTCACAAGATATTTGGCTCTATCTGATGCAACTATGTGGTGCACAAGACCTACCGAGTTCTTGGCAATCTTTCAAAGCTTATGCAAGTCAAAGTTGGAAAGGTAAATCACTTGACAAGGTGTTAAAGAAGTTGTGTTTGGCAACTACGGTGTATAAAATGGAAGTAAATGAATGGGAGGCTCTATACAATCCAGTATAGAGATTATAGAGGTGTCGTGAAGTGTGTCATGCAAATCATCAAAAATATGTTGTTCACACTCAGATTCAAGAGTTCTCCCCAAAACTTGTCACTCCTCCAAGCTTGGGAGCTACCTAGCAGTGGCTTAAGTTCGGTAGGTTGAGACAATTTTTTGTCCTATTTAATATATTAGTATGTTGTTCATTCATCTCCTAATAAAGGTCTTTTGATATTGGGTTATGGCAATACAGGATTTGATTGGAAGTAGGGGCTCAAGGCCCTTACTTCCTTTGAAATTCTGAGTTGACAGGGCTCTTGATAGGGGCCTTTACAAATTAAGAAACAGGGGATACCAATGTCCTTTATAGGGTATCACCATGATTTTGTACATTTTGATTATCTTATGTAATGTTATTTTACTTTCCGGAACAATGGATAAAAGAAAACCCTTAAATAGCACAGTTTATAAGCACCTTAAATTTAGGCTTAATTTCAGTAGCAAGTACACCTTATTTTTGCTTGCAGCTTAAGACTACATGCATATGTCTAACCCTCTCCAGATTTCGCACTAGCGGGAGTTTCGTACACTAGATACACCCTTTAAATACATCAAACAAGAATCTGCTATGGCTGCTATAGATTCTACACAAGGAAATAAGAATTTCAAAAACAACCGGATCTAGTCCAACCAAATCTTAATTTTCGGGTATCTCCTTTTTTTATACACTGGACGGACTTGACCCACAAAACATTGCTGGTAATCCTATGCAGCTGTGAGGGAGTTTCCATTGTCATCTAGTGGCCATTCAATTTTTTTCATATTGAAGAGAGAGAAAGAGAATTCATACTTGTTTTTAACAAATGCCAGAATATCAAATTTTTTTCTTTTTTTTTTTGGGACTAATCAGAATACCACACTACAAGAAATTATGGAAAAAAAACGCCAACGAAAGCAAAATAATCACCGAGAAAACCAATTACAGGCATTTAACCGACGTTTGTCCCATGGGTCTGGACCTATTGATATACGCATGCCTTAATTAAGGTTCATATTAGGTATTATGTTTGTGCCAATGATGACAAATGAAAGCAACTGATAAATAAAGATGGCTTGGATAATTTTGCAACTTTATGACACAAATAAAAACTGAATTTATTTATGTATCTATTCAGATGGGCCATAATATGAAGACAATCTCTCCTGCCAATGATGAGAGCTGAGAAAGAGCGTTGTTCTCTTTCGTTAATGGTGATTTACGAACTTCAGGTGGTCCTTTAAACCTATCTTCACAATCTTGTGCGGCTGTGCTAGCATACTCGGCGTTGGTGCTTGACTCTTTGTAATTGTTGGAATCCAAAAACGAGATTGCCATTTGGAGAACTTGCTCGGCAACGTCCCTATATTGCTCAATGCATGAATTAAAGTATGGCTTTAGTACAGGGTCCGTGGTCTTGTTATACAATTGTTGTATATAGACCAAGGTGACATTGGCTTTTGCCAGAGACAACTCTAGTATTATGCGAGCAAGTCCTTTGACGTCTGCTTTAGCACTTCGAGGATCAGCATGAAGAGATGAGACACATAAATTATGATATTTTGTGCGCCTGCAAGTTTTTTCTATCAAATCGGCTCCTTTCTCTATCACCAAGGTAGAGCATTGGCTTGGAGGTAACTGAATGAGAGAAAATAGGGTAACAACCACCAAACTTAGGGAAACTAGCTTCTTCATTGTGCAGAGTATATAGGGGAAGGATAAGGTATGTGATGCTAATGAAGGTTATGGGTTCTAGTTGGTGGCATTTATAGAGCAATGGCTTTCATACTGTTATGCTGCAATGTAGTCAAAGATAACTGTCAATATAATAAATGACACAACAAACGCTCCATATGAGAGGGATTGCTTATTACAATAATTTGATATACTTTCCAAATGGTGGAAATAGGATTGGCATTCTCCTTATTCATGTAATGTAGGATTGCCATTCTCTTGGAACAAATGTTAGTTTCCATTATTAGGATTTTCTTATCTTATTCATAATTAATCCATCCGGGGTGTCATTGTATAATCTACTAAAATTTAAATTTAAAATGAGTAATATTATTGGGGCTTGAAAATTTAGATATTATCCGGTAAAAGTTTGTGTCATGTTGGATTTTATCATATCCAAACTAGCAAATGCACACGTGCGTTGCACGTGAATAATTTAAAATTATAATTGTAGTTTTAGTATTTATAATTTATTAAAATAAGTTAATAAATATATTAATATTTATGTACATAGAGCACTTGTACTCGTACTCTTTATTTAGGAAGCATCTCTTTTAAAATAGATGACATTTTTGACCAAATTTAAAAATAGAGTATGAAATCAAACAAAAATGTCAATTTGCTGGCACTCCCCTCTTGCTTTGGTAGCTATTGTTTTGTTTTTGTATGTTTTTCCTTGTTAAATAATAAGTCTTCTTAATATTTGTATTTTTGTCCATGTGACTTGAACCTTGGATTCACTGATTTTTTATTGGTTTAAGTTGAGCAATTTCTGAAGTTTTGTTTGAGTCCACTATTTAGACCAAAAACAAAAAAACAAAAAAACAAAAATAAAAACAAAAAAAACCTGCATTTGTGCAAATAAAAACTATTTATTGAAGACAAGTGAATCATTTATTATCTCAGCCACCCTAACTTCTAAAACTATGAAAATCATGATTGATTGAACCATGATGTGAATCTGCTATGGCTTCTATGTAATAACTCTATAGTTGGACGTGCTAGTCTAACCATATAATTAAACCTTGGTTGACCCACGAAAATAAAAAACACTACCACTAAGTGCGTTTGTTTGGACGCGAGATACAGTTAGCAGATTTTGAACCCTCCTAAAAAGTTCGGCTCCAAATCCTTTCAACTGCATTTTTGTCTGCTTGTCAGTAACATGATTCAAATAAAATAACAGATAATGAGCAATACCTGAGCATGCTTTCGGCAAATGAATAGTACATGAGTTAGAATGGAATCCAATAGGATTAAACTTGAAAATGGGGAAACCATTTATAAAAAAAAAAAGGGACTTACTCAAATGAACTTGAATGTGATAGTTTAGGAAAACAATTGAAGATCTTCAGGAACCCAAACATGTATCACACAAGCAAAGAGAAAGTTCAAGAGAGAAAAAATGAAGAAGACAGAGATAGTAAATGTGTTTATTCAGTGTCTGGCTTTTGGTATTCTATTTGATAAGTCATATATTAACTGCAATTTAATATTTATTATATTCATTGAATTTGAGGGTTTAACCTTTAGTATCAACTATTTGTTAGGATGAAAGAGAAATGCTACTGAACGTTTAGTTTTAGAAGTAGAAGTTGTAACATCATTTGATGTTTTACATTGTCATCGAGCAGTTGTGAAAGGAATATGAAAGATATGAAATACTTACTCATGTATTCAATGCAAATAAGTTACAGTAACTATTTAATGAAGGATGAAATTGATATTAAAGGATCAACTAAGGGTAAATTTGGAAAACAAAATTTTTACCATTTAACATATTTTTATAAGTAGTATAGATATAGATTTATTCAATCTATGCCCGATCATTTATAATCATATGTAGTTCAGTTTGTATCGTGTCGGATTCATACAATATATAAGTCGTGTTTATATCAGTCATCAAGCGTGGTTACATCCAATTGGCATCCCATTTTTTCTAGATCTATAGTAAATGGAAAAATACCATCCAGAGTTTCCATTTGTAATTTGTTTTTTTGTGATCTACGTTTTCAGTACTTACGTATAATCATACTACATGTGAAATTAAGTTCTTTCGGATATGACTTGCATCTGTAAATTTTTGTCCTCCGTCCAATGCTTGATTACAAAGAATTTGACGGATAGATGTCCAAGAGTGAAAGACTTACCCATTGTTTTTTGTGCAAATTATTACTTATTTGTAAGTTAAAACCATAATGAAAATCACTCAATCGAGATAATTTATTTTGAAATATAATTTATTCCAATCAAATTTCAAATATTAGAATCTAATTTTTAAAAAAGCAAAAATTGAGAATTTAATTATTGAGAGAGCATTGACCAAGAGATAAACTTAAAGAAATAGTCAAATAAATAATAACTATCAAACTCGTCGTGATTTCACAAACAAATTTTGAGAGATAAGTGACTTGGTGTTTAAAAAAAAGAGACAAAAGAGAAATTGAAGAAAGGGTGGCGAGAATGAATCACGTGAAGAAGCGTAAGTCTAAATTTTAAATTCAGGAAGGAAACCAATTTTTTACTAATAAAGAATGGTGATATTGGGGTCTAGAAATCTATCCTAAATTACTTATCAAATAATGCGGCAATGGAAATATTAAATTAATATTATTGTAATTAGAACTCTTGAATTTATTTTTTGAGACCACATCACTTAATACATTATTAGGTCAGTAAATTGGCTTAGATTTTTAGACCCAAAAAACATTAATGAAGTACAGAAGTAGCGATAAATTTGTACACATTTTTAGTGGGTGAAAATTTTAAAAAATTATAAATTTATAAACATTTCAAAACTATCTAAAAAATATTTAAAATTGCACTGGTGGCAGTTACCCCCACTACTCCCAATGCAAATCCGCCATTCATTCGAACAATAATATAATCTTTCTCTATAATTCAGTACATTTCTAAAAAGTCTATATAATTCATTATGTCAATGAGAATATGTTATTTCGGTGCCCAAAACACACACACACACGTAGGAGGAGGTGGGTGGGTTGATGTTACTTTTCAATTTGATCAAAGCATAACAAAAGTCATTCATTTCTTTCATCAAATGTTGTTAACCTTATGGGCCTAATCTTATATTAAGACTCATATTAGTTATTATGTTTGTACGGATAAATTAAGATGGCTTGGATAATTTTGCAACTCTATGACACAAATAAATAGTGAATTTATTTATGTATCTATTGAGATGGGCCAAAATATGTAGACAATCTCTCCTGCCACTGATGAGAGCTGAGAAAGAGCGTTGTTCTCTTTCGTTAATGGTGATTTACGAACTTCGGGTGGTCCTTTAAACCTATCTTCACAATCTTGTGCGGTTGTGCTAGCATACTCGGCATTTTTGCTCGACTCTTTGTAATTGTTGGAATCCAAAAATGAGATTGCCATTTGGAGAACTTGCTCGGCAACGTCCCTATATAACTCAATGCATGAATTAAAGTATGGCTTTAGTACAGGATCCATGGTCATGTTATACAATTGTTGTATATAGACCAAGGTGACATTGGCTTTAGCCAGAG